CCTGCACTCGACCACTGTCTCCTGGGATAGAGCTCTTACGCTCGCCCCTTCGCCAAGAGACTTTTCGACGAGCTCCTTGAAGGCTGAGCTCTTGATAGCAGGATCCTTCTTCAGCTCAAAGAGGATCTCGCCTTTCTGGGTTCGCCTGGTTTTCACAACGTTCTCTCCTAGTTGCTTCAACTCCGGATCCTCTCGTACCTTCCGGAGGAGTGCTGCATACGACGTTTTGTCCTTAGCTTCGACGATCAGAGCATCGCCCTTACTTCGCTCCCGACGAGTCCTGGGTATCACCTTCTTCTGTTCAGCTTTCTTCTTCATGTCTTTTTCCTTCCGTTTTTTCCACTTCTCCTTTGGCTTCTCGACGGTACGCCAGCCTTCCTCCTTGTTGTCTTCTTTGTCGTTCTTGACTTTTTTCAACTCCTCTTCCTCTCCTGGAGTTTCCCTTTTCCTCTTCTCCGAGCGTGGATTTCGAGGTCCCTTTGGCGTCTCCTGTATTTCAGCTGCTGCTTTCTCCTTGGCCTCGATCAGTGCCCTTTCGGCAGTTACGGACCTCGTCCTCAGCGCATCCTGTTCACGTTCGGCAGCAATAATGGCGGATTTGATGCCCGTCACCATTTCCTTTATTGCCTTGTGGACGTTGCTCTTATCCTTGATGAAGTCATGGAGTTCATTGATCCTCCTCCTGACCTCCATCAATTTGGTCTTCCCAAGCTGCAATCCTTCTTGGTGTGTGCTACTGCTGGATTTCGGTGTGAACACCTGGCTTAGCATAAGACCTAGCTCTCCTTGGTGTCCTTGCTGCTCACCTTGGGGCTTACTGCTGCTGTTGGAACTCGCTGTTGCCTCCAGGTTCAACACTGGTGATCTCTGCAATATCCCGCTCCTTGCGAACACGTTCGCTCCTCCGTTTTCAATTTCTGGCGTCTTGCCGTCGTTCTTCATATTTTTTTGGGTTTTCTCATTTTCTTCTTTTTTGTTTTTTTCTCCGTTTTTCTCCATTCTGTTGGGTCCCCCCTCCGGGCCGCTATCTCCACTCGTTGTATGTAGTCGCCTATCGTGATCCCATGGTTATCTATGCAAGCAGGGAGGCCATGCTAGGGTTGACACGGTCCTTCATGGGGGCCGTGTTCAGAGCCAGATCGGCGTAAGTCAGGAATGTTACATCTGAGTCTACTACTCACCAATCACCAATTGGTGACGAGTTTTGAACGTATCCGGAGGCCTGCCAAGGTTTTACCGGGACGGGGGCAGCCGCACTATTAGCCCACTCGCCATTTCAAGAAGGTGTCACCCTTCTTTACTTAGGGAGCAGAATAGCACGACTGTCAGCCCTGTAGCGTGGTATCCAATCCATTGTGCCGTGTCGTGTCCATAGTTCCATGCCGTATCCAGTATGCCGTAATAAGGATCTTACTGGCGTCGATCCTAATGTGCCGGTTGGCACTCCTGCGGGTTGACGAAGCATTTCCTCGATCGCCGTGTTATGGTTACCGCGCCAGTGTTCGCGTCGCACCCCCTCACTTTGCTATTGTCAGAAGGACAACATTGCCCAGGCTACACCACGGGGAGGTGTGAGGTAGGAACTTGTGAGGACCAGAGATAGGAAAAACGCTCTTCCCAGGTTGTCAATTCACCATTTGTAGCCCGTGTGTGTGTGTGTGTGTGTGTGTGTGTGTGTGTGTGTGTGTGTGAGAGAGACAAAGAAAACCTCTACAAATTTCATTCAGAGAATTTTAATATGGTCCATAACATATGTGTAACTCGGTCTTAAAAAATCGACCCCATTTCAGTGATTTCAAGTGGCATAGTAGGACATCGATCTGTCAAACTGGTTATACCAGCTGTAAATTGAGAAAGGAGATCAAGGGGGTAGTCTATTCTATTAAAATATTTCTAATGTGGTTTATAGTTCATTATCTTCTTAGCAATCTTGAACTCCTGTCTTTGTATTGCCATAATAATTTACGTTCTTTATTTTTAATTATATAGCTATAGTTCTTTATTTTCAATTATATAGCTTAATTTATAATTATAAATTATCGTTTGCATAAAAAAGGAGACATTTTTTGAAGATGTTTTAAGCGATGACTTGCCACTTAAAAAAACTTAATTTTAAGCTGCCATGGGTTAACTGTTTACATTTCAATTATGAAAGCGATACCTATTGCTGTAATTATTACCAAAAAACTTGTTCATTTGATAGCTGTAGCGTAACTTCTTCTTGGAATTAATACGTAAAACAGACATATGCTGTGTTTTGAGCTGACCTTGCATCTTTTCATTCACAAGAATTTTGCAAAAACGATGATAAATGAAATCGAGCGCTTATCGATACCTGTAATACCCAAGGTTTCAACCCTCTCAATGTTTCTCAATAGCGTAAAATTGAATGTTTCTGCTCAAATCCCAACACAAAGATCTATTGACAGGTTATCTACAGTATGACTGGTTAGCGATGCGCTTGATTGACTTACCAGCCGGTAAAAATGTTTACCGTTTTCGTTAAATTAAAATTAAATCACCGAAATTCGGTCATTTTATTTAAAGTTTTCAGCAATAAAGCAAGAAAATACCGAAATATTAATTTGCAATTTTCAGGATTACCGATCTAAGCACTATTTTTTTTTACCGAAATCAGGGTCTCTGTTTAAGTGTGCACACTTAATCACGGCTTCCCTGTTCGATAATTTTTTTTACAGTTTTCGAACTGTAAATCACAAAAATTACCGCTATTCTCAATAAAATAACTGACGATCAGTAGCTCTTGCGACAAACTACTGAATACGGTAAGAGTAAGTACTGAACTTATCGTAAAATAACAGCTTTGCGGATAATTACTACCCCGAAATTTATCAGTGTCTGCACTCCTGCATTGACTTTCAGATGTTCAAGTTAGTTTGAAGAAAGAAATTTCACTAAAATTTCCTGTTATAGAGCTTCAGACACCCAATCCGGCACATCGAAAGAGCCACCACCCGGTAAACCACCGGGAAACTCTGATCGCTCAACCTGGACTAGTTAAAACAGCAATACTGCTAATCCGCCACTAATCTCCGTCTCCAAATTCAAATCGCTATAAATTCGAAATGTTTTAATCGAATGAACCCAAACAAATAATGAAATAAAAACATTGTTGATGAATTTACCTCGGAATTTACTAACTTATTCATTAAAAACATAAAATAAAAATACTGAAAAACTCAGCAAAACAAATAAATTACTGAATAAGACAGCAATACTAGTACTGACTAACATGGTAGTTTTTGACAGTTCAGAGATTCTGCGATTTACGGAGTTTTAAGCAAAATCAAAAACTGCTGGGTTGATTACTGAGAACTCAGCTGTTTAAAAACCCAGTAAAATGTTACCGACTTCGGTAAGCTAAACTCTTGTGTGTGTATGTTCACCAAAATAGCTCACAGCAGAGGATCAAACGTATTATTGATTTGTGCGCGATGAACTCATTAATATGTATTATTGATGTTTTCTACTCGATAGAACGTATAAAAAGGCTATTTCCTTTCAAAGGAGGATGTTTGTCTGTATCTTGGGGTCAATATGACCCCAGGCAATTTTTGCAATGTTGATTATATATCAAAACATTTTTTTATTGGCATTGTGCATGCCAAAGTCTTCTTGATATATCTGCCTCTTAGTTGAGAGAAATTTTGAATTTTATTTAATACCCGTTTTGAAGGATTTTTGCAATAAACTTACACACTTACACACACTTACAATACTTTTTCGGTAATTTATTACCGAAAATATTTGGTGAACGAATGACATTACAGTTTTTTTTGGTAAGCAGAATTAATGGATAGATTATTTAAATAAACGAAGATCGCATATTTTCGTTTTACGAAACAGTTCGGTAAAAAACTACCGAAACGTACAGTACTGTTGACAGTTCATCAAAAAAATGTTTACGAATCGTTCGGTAGCTTTTTCGATTACCGAACGTTCAGCTTTTCACCCGTCCAAATTTAGTTTCATTTATTTGAAATGATCATAGGTCGAAAATTGTCCAAAGTACAGTTTGAAATGAAGAGTAAGTGATTGTGGCTTCGGACATTTGGACTGCCTATTTGGTGTTCATTTTCTAAAGGCGGGGTATAGAAAACCAATCTAAGGTTAGGTACTCTATTCTGAAATCTGTGAAAGGTAATCTAGTATCATGTAGAACAAAACGTCCAATGTAACACTCATTGATTATGTAATTGAGAAAAATCGTCAAATTGAACATGTCAGATGTACAACTTGACTAGTCAAAACGTCATATGTGTTTTTTTTTTCTATATTGTAGCAAGAAATTTAAAGTAAAATTGTGATTTTACCGTTTCTACTGAATTTTCAACGTTTCTACTGAATTTTCAACGTTATTGTTCACTGACTATGGTAAAAATAGTATTGCTAAATGTATTATATCTAAACAGTTTAAATAATAATCTGTCGAACTTCAGCTTCTATTTTCCCAAAAGGGCAAATATGTTACATTGGTCTATTTGAAAAGTGACGCGAGAAATCATTCCATTACCCCGAATGTAAAACTAACGAAAGCAGCAATAAAAAAGGCAAAATCTCATCCGGGGTACTGCAGCAAAACACAAAACCTGGTCTAGATAAGGTAACAATCAACAAATATTGCATCAAAACGGTCTTGTTCTTGATCCAACTTGCTAGAAGGGTATGTCCGTAAACTACATTTAACCCTTATGTGCGTGTGGAATTTGTTTTGCTGTTTTCTACGCCGTGTGACTGCTGAGTACCTGTACACTCCGTCACGCACATAAAGGATAAATTTTCACCAAATTATATGAACCATATACGTTTTAACCGCACCACACCAACGTAGTTTATCAACAGTTCCTATTATAAAGTTGAATCATGTTAATACAATACTATTCAAATAATATTTTTTTTTTCATTTTGATAATTATTACAATATTTTACAAGTGCTCTAGTTTCAATTAGATTCAATTACTTTTTTTTTTAATTCATAGGTACTGTTTCCCTTCATTTTCTGCAATATGGTCAGTAAAGTAGACGTAGTAGCAAATGTAGAAGGTGGAGGTTTTTCGGGTCAAGCTGGGGCAATTCGATGGGGCATTTCAATGGGCCTGCGTAGTTTCGTCGATGCTGATACAGTTGATAAAATGAGAATGGGTGAGTAGTTGTTCATTTCCACAGAGAATATGATTATAATTTTAAAATTCACAGCTGGTCTTTTGCAACGCGATTATCGTCAAAGGGAACGTAAGAAGCCTGGTCAGGCAGGAGCCAGAAGGAAGTACACATGGAAGAAACGTTAAATGCAGTTTGTTCAGTGTGAAGCAAATATTAAAAGAATATAATAATTGAACTGGTTAACGCAGCAACTGTTTTGGCTATATGAGATACCACTTTTCCGATAACCGGTAGTCTGTCCATTTGCATTTTTATCATATTTTTTTTCATTAATTTCGAATTAATATCACTCAGTTTAATATAAAGTCTGGCGTGCACAGGGTGGGGCAAGGTGGGGCAATTGCCTCCCCCCTTTTAAAAATAAGATTTTTATTTCCACATTTACAAAATTATGATATAAAATAATTTGATTTCTGGATAACTTGATTTGAAGGTAAAATAACATGATTTCATTATATAAGGGCACTGAAAACCTTTCATTGCGTCAATTCCTATGAAATTGTGCCTGAAAATTGCACCACAAAGGTGCATGAAGGGACAAACTTCAATGAAATTTGTTGGTCAAAAAATTGCACCACAGTGGTGCATACAAAACATTTCTGGTGCAAATTGGATAAATTTAAGATTGAAAAATTTACCGCTTGGTACATCGAAGAAAAAGCTTTTTATTGAAAATTTCTGGTGTAAAAATATAATCAAGGTGATGCTTGGTAAGACTATTAAAAATGAATAGCTCTAGTGGAAAAATTGAATCATGGAGGTGCACATTTAACTGAAAATTTCTGGTGGAAAGTTCGCAACGCTGTGGTGAATGTAGATGCAAGGTTTATTCATTTTTCTGGTGCATAATTTGCATCGTTCTGATGAATGCAAGCTTCATTGAAAATTAATAGTGGAAAATTTGCACCATTCTGCATAAGAGCAAAGTCTTAAAAATGCACCACAAAGGTGCATGGTGAAACAAACTTCACTGACAATTTTATGTGCACCATTGTGGTGAATGAAGGAGCAAGCTTCATAGAAAATTTCTGGTGCAAAATTTGCATCGCATTGATAAATGAAATGAACAGAAATTTTCTGGTGGAAATCTTGCACTGGTCTGGTAAATGAAGACACAAGCATTATTAAAAATTAAGCTACATTGAAAATTTCTGGTGGAAAATCTGCATTCTTCTGTTGTATAGAGAAACAAACTGTAATAATAATTTCTGGTGTAAAATTTGCACAGTTTTGATGATTGGAAGGAAGAGCTTTACTGAAAATGTATGGTGAAAAACCGGAAAATAGGGGCAAGCTTTAATACAAATATTTGGTGGAAAACCTGAAACATTTTGATAATAGCAGAAGCTAGTTATATTGAAAATGACTGGTGGAATATGAAAAATGGAACTTTCAATGAAAATAAGTGGTGGAAAATTTACACCCTTCTGGTGATGGAGGGGCAAGCTAAATTGCAGAAAATTGGTGTAAATTACTAAGTGTTGGTGGAAGGGCAATCTGTATTGAAAATATTGGAGGAAAATTTGCACCGTTTTTGTAAATGGAGAATTGTGCAAGCTTTATTGAAAATTTGTAGTACAAATTTAGCTCCGAGTTGGTGTATAGGGGAAGGGAAACCTTCAATGAAAATTAGTGGTGGAAAATGTACACCCTTCTGGTGATGAAGGGGCAAGCTTAATTGCAGAAAATTGATGTAAATTACTAAGTATTGGTGGAAGGGCAAGCTGCATTGAAAATATTGGAGGAAAATTTGCACCGTTTTTGTAAATGGAGAATCGTGCAAGCTTTATTGAAAATTTATAGTACAAATTTAGCTCCTAGCTGGTGTATAGGGGAAGAAAAACCTTCAATGAAAATTACTTGTGGAAAATTTACACCCTTCTGGTGATGAAGGGGCAAGCTTAATTGCAGAAAATTGGTGTACATTACTAAGTGATGGTGAATCGAAGGGCAAGTATTGAAAATATTGGAGGAATATTTGCACCGTTTTTGTAAATGGAGAATCGTGCAAGCTTTATTGAAAATTTAGCTCCTAGCTGGTGTATAGGGGAAGGGAAACCTTCAATGAAAATAAGTGGTGGAAAATTTACACCCTTCTGGTGATGGAGGGGCAAGCTTAATTGCAGAAAATTGGTGTAAATTACTAAGTGTTGGTGGAAGGGCAAGCTGTATTGAAAATATTGGAGGAAAATTTGCACCGTTTTTGTAAATGGAGAATTGTGTAAGCTTTATTGAAAATTTATAGTACAAATTTAGCTCCGAGCTGGTGTATAGGAGGAGGGGAACCTTCAATGAAAATTAGTGGTGGAAAATTTACACCCTTCTGGTGATGGAGGGACAAGTTTTTCTGAAAATTTATTGTGGAAAATTTACAGCGTTCTGGTCAATGGAGGGACAAGCTTTTTGTTTTGGAAAATTGTGGTGTGAAATTTGCACCGTTAAAGTGAATAGACGGGGTTTAACTGAAAATTCCTGATGTAAAATTTGATAGTACTGTTGAATAGAACTGCAAGGTGTATTGAAAATTTATGCACAGCAAAAAAAAATATTATAATATCAGCCTGCGGTTGAAAGTCTCTTAAAGAAACAAAATAAATCAATCAATCACTTTAGTATCACATCAAAGTGGATGCACTTCAATCTGTCGATAATATGGTGTTAAATTACTTGCCAAAAAGGACGAAATTATCATTAATACAGTGCATGAACTGACATTACGCTGCTTTTACTGCAATTGTTTATTTTTGTGACCATACAAATTACATGAGGTTTTTGACATGATTGAAGTGCGTCCTCTTGGATGTTATATTAAAATTTATTTTTTGCTGTGTAGTGTTAAATTTGCAACTTTCTGGTGAATGGAGGGGCAATATTAACATTTATGACATTATTAATATATTAACGAATGGCCTATTAAGACAAGCTTTATCGAAGATTTCTGACTGGAAATTTGCCTCATGCTGATGAACGGCGAGGAATAAAAATATTATAAATAAATATTTCTCGTGGAACAATCGCACTGAAATGGTCCATGGATGTCTAGTTTTCAGAAAATTTCTGCTGTGAAAATAGCACCGCATCGGAGCATTTTGGGAGGAGGTTAGTTTCATAGCAAATAATGGGTGCAAAAAATGGTATGAAAAAGACAAATACTCAAACTGAGTACCATCATCATACCATCGCAAATTCTGCACAGTGTATACACACTATAGTAAAATGAAACAATCGTTCTGCCCTTTTTCGGTTGCTGCGCTGTATGGAAGCAGGTTTATTTTTAGCATTTCTGTTGCCCTCCCGTTCTGAATGAAACCTTCTGCGTGCAGATTGTATCTAACCTCTCGTCACTCATTTTCCATGGGCCCAAATAGACAAAAAATTTAGGATTGAGATTGAGATGCACGCTGTTCGTATCCGATGTTGGAGAACTTGTCACGTTTTTTCGAACGTCCCATCGAACTTCAGAAACCGAGCATTACCCATTTACACTGATTGATTCATTGAATCTAGAATGCCGCGCGGCGTTTCAGAAACACCGTGGTGTGCATTTCCCTTAATTATTTCGATGCCACCTTTCATCTAAGGAAACAATGAGTGTTTATGTAACGAAACTGTTTTTCAAGATGAGTGAAAAAAAAATAAAAACTTTCCCATAACCCGAAACAAGAATCGAACTAGAAACTTCGTGATAAGTGACTCCGCACTTTTGTGCTGTGTCATACTCAACAATTAAATTAGGGGATCCAGTAATCAATTTAGATCAACGTTAAGATCGAATTTATTCATTGCGATGGAATTGAACATGTTCTGCCCAGAAACAGACCCCACTATTTTAGCGCGAAAGTGCTCTTCCAAGCGTTAGAATTTTGATTCGAGTTTTGGGGGCATTTTTTTTTTTTTTTTTCTTTGCTATCGAGATTTTCAGCCGCAGGCTGGTTCATCTCCCGTTTAATGGTAACATGGAGAGGGCGTTTGAAAGATCCAGTGTGGCCCCCCTTGGCAATTGAATAATAAATAGTTACAGTGGTTCATGCCATATTATACATATTATAAAGATGTAAAACAAAATCGTAATCCGTTAAACGTTGGCAAATGTGGGTTGCTGAGATGATAACAATATTGTTGTTAGGAGAATAGTCCGTTAGGTGTTTGCAGGATGATCAGTTGTGAAATGGCAAATCTCATAGCGTTAACAGAAGATCAGTTTTTCAAATTTGTGTGTATAGTTTGGTGTCTTTCAGGAAGCACAGTAAGGCAGATTCGTATGAAGGATCGTTACTTAGAACGTCTCGCACTCCAGCGTGGATACCATACAGACGTCGATGATCCTCATACTTGGGACAGTTCACAAGTATGTGTTCTACTGATTGTTCTGTCTGGCATATATCGCACCGTTTGTGCCTGTCTGGTACTATGGAATAATCGTGGGTGACTCGAGTGTGACCCGTTCTTAGACGCGATAGGGTTCGTTGGTCTTTCCAGCGGGGCTGATCAGTCCATTTCTTGATGTCACCTTTCACCTTTCGCAAAAATAGCCATCTTTCTTGTTGCCAGCTTTCGGCCCAAGCATCTTGGATGATCGCTTTAACCCATGTTTTGACGTCATCAGCTGGCGTTTCATTGGTATACAAATTTGACTCCCGACCGACAGACGCCAGATGGTCAGCGGTTTCGTTTCCAGCTATTTCGACGTGTCCGGGTATCCAGGCAAATGGAAGGTTGCTATTAGCCGCATTGTGTATAGCTTGGATCCACGGGTGTCGATTCTTGTAAGACTCGAGCGCCGAAAGTACACTTGCTGAGTCAGTGAGGATTGCCGTAGGACACGATGAATCTCCAGAGGTAGCTAAAAATATGGCGACAGCTTCGGCTGTGAACACGGAACATGTATCAGGTAGGCGCTGAAAGTAGGTTATATTGGGACCGGTTACCCCAATTCCCACGTGACCCAGTGCTTTAGAGCCGTCGGTGAATATGAGTTGGTGATTGGCAAGTTTGGTAGAAATGAATTGTATGTATGCTTTGTGAAGGTGAATAGAGTTTTCTCCAGCTCTGAAGTTCCTTTTAATTGTCCAGTCGATGTTCAATTGAGGAGAGTTCCAATCTCTGTCTCCTACCCAGTGAGCCTCAGAAACTGGAGGGAGCTCTTGATTGGTCAAATATTGAAGGAGTTTGT